TAGGTTCTCTTGGTGCCTGGTTTAATGGAAATGAGAACGTTTTAAATGAACTTCAAATTAACAGTCGTTATAGAACTCTATTTAGGAAACTTTGTTGTGCTGACGCAATTCGTGTGTCAAGAAACATTTATGTGCAACACCTCACTGGTGTTCCACAGTGACTATATAGTATATTAATGGTTAACACCGAACGCTATCGTGAACTTTAAAATATATATATTTGTAAATAACTCTAAATGCAACGTCAAACTAACCAGCACCTAGTCCAGTGTCTGGAGTTTAAAAGGGTTGCCAGTAATGCCAATCGATGTAATACTCTATAGTTTTCCAATCAGCTAAGCCAATCAATGTAAATAATTTCTATACCTTAATAAAAAATTTCTGTTCTTATCAGCTTAATATCTGATATGTTAGGCAATGCCTAACTCATATATTAAACTGATTTTTGGACTTCGGCCATGGGATTGAAGCTTGCTTCGCCCTGGCCACGGGTTGTCTCGGTATTGCACTACATCCGAGTACGGCCCCTTCCCCACTCGGGGAAGAACATTTCTTTTATTTCAAATCAAACTATAAAGCAATCTCTAGTTTATTAGACGATCACACACACTTAATTACTTTTCACATGCCGATAGATTTATATTAACACCATACTCGAATACCACGTGAAATAATATATCACGGCTTTCTCATGCATATATAACATACATATCATATGACTTGTAACACTTGATTATTTATCCTATGTTGATATTTCACACCTTGTGAGCGTGTTTTCATTCGGCTATGAACCGAATCAACTACATCTAATTTTACTAGCATACTTTTTCATTCTCTAGATCGCGGCACATGGCGTTCAAGACAAGAGGGAAACCCCCGAACTACCACAATCGCGTCTCATCATCATCGCGTATATAAGGTGAGCGCCGTAAACAGCAGCATACTTACCTGACGCGAGAGGCACCTTGATCAACTAGGAGGTCCTCTCAGGATGAGGCCCTTTCATTGCACTTCGAATGGGTTGACTCCTGCGATTACCCCTAATGTGGGTAACTCGAGCGTATAATTTCTGGTAGTGGGGACCTGCGTTCGCGCTCGTCCCCTTCAACATATAATATTCATGTATAAATGTATAAAGCCGTGTTCTTTCTTAACACTGCCGTGTGTGTAGATTGTTTTTGTATAGAATCCGATGTCAAACATGTCATTTATCACAGCACACACTCTCTTTATATATTCTCCGTGCCGAAATCTCTCCATCTCGTGTGCATATTATATGGCAAGCAAAGCTATAATACACGTCTATATTTTACCATAACGAGTCTTTGCACACTATTCAATTGATTCCCTGTATAAAGTCACTTGCTTGCCAACGGAATTTCAAGCCATCGCACGTACATTCCAAGTGCCGATTAACTGGCTCGCATGTCACTCAAGCGCACGTGTTTTGCCGGTCAAACTTATAGAATACCAAGTAAACATTTATTCAAACATCGCATTATTTCACGGTGCGTGACCCGAAACCTTTCCAGGTCACAATGCAATTTGCGAGCGAAAGAAGCTCGGCGCATTCCTGGATCTTTAAAGAGCGCGAATGCCGATACGTTCGCAACTCTCGTCTCACCGTCCATGCCACGTGGCCGCCGTGCCCCTCTCCACGACCGCACGCGCGTGCGCGAGAGAACCGCGAGAGTCGCGTTGGGCGATCACCACGGACTTGCCGTGCTCGTGCGACGAGTAATCAGGCGCTTGTCGACGTCATAATCGCTCGCGAGCGAGCTCCTTCTCACCGCGTTTTTGTAGCACAAGTGTTCGGTAGAAATATGTGTGGCAAACGGCGAAGAAGGCATCGCTTCTCGGCCTTTTGGCTAAGATCAAGTGTAGTATCCCCGCGGCAGGATTACGTCATATCGAGCTCTGTATATATTCGCTGTTTCTGGTCGTAATTCCTGTTATTGTTTAGATTTTATTATATAATTTTGTTTATAAAGACAAACAGATTCTACTGGTATAAATTTTATTCAGATTATATTTGGATTTCTCGTATAATTCTGGTTGTGGCTGCGGCTTTTATTGTGTCTCTCGCTATAATCTGGAGTTTACTGTTTTCCTGGATTATCTTTGGTTTGGAGTACACGTTTGTTTTTAAAATTCGTGTGTGATCTACGAATTGTATACTGGTTTCTTTATGAAAATTTCAGCTAGTTTGGTGTACTGCATCGAAAGTTATAACGGATTTATTATTTTGACAGTTGGAACAAATTTGAATTTTAATTACGGTCTGGCGTACTGGTCATAACAACTTCTTCCTGGCTCCATTCGGCGGTATACGTGTGTTTCATACTAATTTGGCCGATTTATTCAAACTGTTTGTCTCACTGGGAACATTTTAATATAAATTTTGTTACCTGTTGTCGCTTATCTGTAGTTTATTTCACCTTCCAAAGTTATTGCGTACAATTACGCAATATTTATTACTACGCTCTACTTGGCTATAGGTTTTTCATATTTCGCCTATATATCGGGATTGTGTGGGTCCTTATCTCTGGAATTTCACATAGTTGTTGACCCGTGGGTTACTGGTATTCCCTGAAAGTTTCACCATTGTGCGTTGTAGAGAATTTAAACTAGCGAGGATTTTATTATTTCCCAACGGTCATCTGATCTTATTGCCAGTGTTTGCATCTCATTATTTATCGCCTGTTTGGGGAATTCCCTATTGCGTAATGGCTTTGATGTGTTTTTAAATATCATCCGTACATGTCTGTTCGTCTGTAGCCAGTTTATTTCGTTTTCGCTAAGCGTTCATCTACCAATTATGTCTTCGAGGGACTCCACAGATAATTCGTTCGTGTACTCTTGTTCGGATTGTGATTTTACAAAGGTCAAAGAACGTGGCCTCGGAGTTCATCGTGCAAAAATGCATAATGTTGAGTTGGCTGATCAAGTGTTATCTGTGTATGTAACCCGCGTGTATCCTGAATGTAAGAAGTTTAAATGTTGTATTTGTGATGTGGTCATTGGTTCTTACCCTAATTTCAAACGACACTTCGATAATCGTCATCCTAATATTGAACTTACTGCCGATGCTATTTGTTCCATTTGTAATATGGAGTTCCAAAATGCTAAAGCTGTTGGTGTCCACTGCCAAAGCGTTCATAGTATCTCTAAGAAAAAACCCAACAAGAAAATTCCTTCATCACCAACTCCAATTCAATCATTTATTTACAAATGGAAACCATTGAATCATTCTCCTCCTGTTCCTCCTGTTATACCCTCTCAACTTCCCTCTCAATCTCCTTCCCAATCCCCGCCCCATGCTACCTCCTCACCACCGGCCTCCTCCCCTCATCAGCCTCCTGTACATACCCCTCACCCGTCACCTCCCCTTATTCCCCCCCAATCATATATGACCAACTCCGACTCCCCCATCCTTGTTAATTCCGCTTCCCAGACCACCCCTACGCCATCCCACTCCCACCATATGCCGCTTCCTTCGCCGACCCCGTCCCAATCCTTGATTTATCAAACTCCTTCTCCCAATGATCCCACTGCCGATGACGACCCGTTCATAATCCCTCCCCCCCCTCCAACCCCTCCCTCCTCTATCATTCATCAGTACCATAAACAACACCCCTACTCCCCCTTTTTCCCTCAGCCTCGCTGACACCCCATCATTGTCTTCCCCTTCATCCCATTCGTCCCCTTCTTTGTCTCCTTCGTCTCCCTCGCTTCCTCATCGCCTTCCTCATCCCTTTCAACCCCTCCATCAACCGTTACTCCTACTCCACCAACGTCCTCTATTGACCCCTTCCACGAATGTGATCCTCCTGCCTTCCTCAATGACCCAGTTATTCCCTCTCAGTCACCCTTCATCCATCAATCTAATCCTAGTCAAGCTGGTAATGTATTCTCTGGTCAATTCGAATCTATTGTGGTTGGTCCTCCTACTGATGCTAATGAGTCGACTATTCCTCCTCCTTCACCTACCATCGAGAAGGATCCAGTAGAATCCATCCCTGAATTCCATGCCCGTTGGTCCTTATTCTACTCTGACCACCCCAGTTGGCAAGAATTTTCTGATAAAACGGACCACTTCGCTGCGGATATTGTCACTACCTGTAATGCTAACTACCGCTCTCCGAAGAATGTTCCGGCTGCTCGTCGTCCCAATCGACCTTCCGCCCGCCCTGCCAACAACAACAGGCAGCCGATAGGATATAATCCCGTCGAGGCGAGGAAAATCCAAACCCTGTACCGCATTTCCAAGAAACGTGCGACCAGAAAGAACATAGATGATAGCAAACCATCGTATACAGGGTCGGTCGACGATGCAAATGAGTTCTTCACGAGAGTCTTTGGTACCAGATCTTGCGATATGGATAACTTAAAAGCTGGTTTGTCTGATTTCGTCCCTTCGGGTCCAGTCGATGATAGCCTCAGAGCCCCTACAACACCAAAGGAAGTGGAGAAGAAACTAAAATCTCTTTCGAACTCAGCTCCTGGGGCAGATCGGCTAGAATACCGACATCTTAAATCCATCGATTCGAAAGGCTCACTACTCTCTTCCATTTTCAATCGCTGTTTATCTGAGAATGATGTCCCTTCCAGTTGGAAACTTGCCCAAACCATCCTAATCCACAAGAAAGGTGACGCGAGTGACATATCAAATTTCCGCCCCATCGCCCTGATGAGTTGTATATATAAGTTATTCGCCAGCGTTCTAGCTAACCGTATTGTGTCCTTCTCCATCAACAATGACCTCCTATCCTCATCCCAGAAAAGTGCTCGTCCCTCCGAGGGTTGTTATGAACATACATTCATCCTCCAATCCCTAATCCTTGACGCTAATCGACATGACAAGAATATCTATTTAGCGTGGCTCGACCTCCGTAATGCTTTTGGCAGCGTCCCACATGATGTCATCTCTGCAACCCTGACCCATCTTGGTGTCCCGGACTCTGTGGTGACCCTTATTGGTAACATCTATACCAACGCATCTACGGAAGTCCGAACCCCTGCAGGTAATACCTCGTCGATTCCAATTCTATCTGGAGTTAAACAAGGATGTCCCTTATCCCCAATCTTCTTCAACTTATGTATAGAGCTAATTCTTCGTGCGGTCAACGCGAAAGGCCAATCTATCGGCCCGGCTAAACATTTCGGTTCTGACATTTCAGTCCTTGCTTATGCTGATGACTTAGTGATCATCTCACGGAATTCCGACAAACTCCAGAAGTTATTGGATTCAGCCAGCAAAGCAGCTTCCATCATGGGACTGGAATTTAGACCAGATAAATGTGTGTCACTCTCCCTTACCTACGGTAGGAAGTTCAAGGACAACATCCAACTCCTCAATTATATCGTTCAGGGTAAAGCCATTCCATCGCTCAAAGCCCATGAACATTATCGCTACCTTGGTGTCCCGATAGGTATGATTAGAGACGTGTCTTCAATTCAAAAGTTAGCTGAAGATTTATGCGTAGATCTTGACCGTATCAGTAAATCGCTGCTGACTCCCTGGCAGAAACTTGATATGATTCGCACATTTGTACAACCATGCTTGACATTTGTCCTCCGTGCTGGTGAACCCCTTAAAGCTTCCCTGATTAATTATCGGAAAAAGCTAATACAGGTCGTACGTAGTATTTGTAATCTTCCTCTTCGTGCAACATCTCACTTTGTGTTCGCTCCTATCAGAGTTGGCGGCCTCGGCTTTCAGGATCCTTCTGCGGAAGTTGACGTTCAAACAGTAGTTCAAGCCATCAAGATGTTAACATCCTCTGATCTGTTTGTTTCCTCTGTAGCCATCGGTGAACTACGCAAAGCTGTTCGTTTTGCCGCCCGTGCGGACCCATCTCCTGCTCTAATGCGTGACTTCATGTCTGGTTCCACTCGTGGCAATTTTCATCGTGATCGTATTCGATACCGTACGCACTCCCTGTGGACAAGAGCAAGATGTGCCTGTCGTAGACTCGGTTTGTCCTTCGCTGTGCCTGATAATGACCCTCCTGCCTTATATACCAACTCCAAAGGCCCGTGCCTTGCTAAGTCAGCTGCTTCCTTTCTTCATCGTCATGTACAAGACCGTGCTGCTGAGAAGTTGATGAATTTTCCTGATCAAGGCAAAGTGGCAAGAGCGCTGGTTAAGGGTAGTTTTGGTAACGGTTCTGCTTTCCTGTATACGGGCCTTAACATCAGGTTTCGTGACTGGCGATTTATACATCGTGCAAGACTGAACGTTGTCCCACCAACCAGAATAAAGCCAGGTGGTGCGATGTTTCTTCCAATTGCCGAATGTGTGGTGATGCTAGTGAAACCCTACCCCATATCCTCAACCATTGTGCACCCAGTATGACAAAGATTCGTGAGCGACACAACTCAGTTGTCAACAGATTATCCAACGCAGTAAGATTCGGTGTTGTACGTATTGACAAACAAGTCCCTGGTATTGCTGATGAATGTCGTCCTGATATTGTGATAGAGAATGATGATGTTATCATCATTGATGTGACATGTCCATTCGAGAACGGGGAAAAAGCCTTAGCCGAAGCTGACTTCAACAAAGTTATGAAATATGATCACGTGAAACGTCATTTCCAATCCTTGGGGAAAAGTTGTTCTGTACATGGCTTTGTAATTGGTTCGTTGGGTACGTGGCATCCAGATAATGAAGCTGTTCTCTCCAAACTGTTGATGTCAAGATCGTATAAGTCATTATTTCGCAAATTATGCTGTACCGATGTCATCAAAGGTTCAGCTGACATTTACTATAGCCATATGGTAGTTTAAAACAACATTATGTTGGTATAAAAACATTATATACTTTGAACTGGTAGTTTCTCTTGTCTTCCTATTGACATATGAACTCTATATATATATATTATCATATAGTAGTATCTATCTCTAAACGAACAGTTTTCTTCTTACATATCTCATGAGATAGTAAAATGGGATAATTTATGATAATTATTCACATAATTTACATAATAATCTTCTACGTAAATAGTTTTCTTGTCAAGTAAGTTACTCTCTTATTGTAAATAGCTTTATTCTTTCTAAA